GCGCCCCGACTCCCCGGAGCTGCCCGCCCCGCCCTCCGGAACCCGGTGCCCGCCCCTCGGGGGCGGCGCCCTCGCGCCTCCGTGCCCGCCCCGCCGCCCGCGCGACCCCGGGGTGGCTGCTGCTGCACGCGAGCTGCGGTACCGAGCTCCAACCGCTGCGGCCCGGGCGTCGGCGGTGCTGCATCCCGGCTGCCCGGCTCCTGCGGCCCTTAGGCTCTCCACTCCGCATCTCCCCGGCGGGTCTCAGAATCCAGCTTCCCACGCTGTCCGCACTCCTTACCGGCATCTCCACAGGCCACGTCCTGGGAGCGCTCAAGGGTTCCTTTTCCAAAACCCCATCACTGCGCCGTCTTGGGACCTCGGATTTAAAGCTCCAAGTTACCCCCAGACCTCTAAGCACTTTAGGAAGGCAGCGTGTGCTGTACTTTGTCTTAGACAGAAGGCCGAGAAGCGATGAGATCGTGAAGTGTGTTATAAAAGAAATTCCCAAACCCAGAACTGGAAGAATCGGCTGCTGCTGAAATCTAAGCTTGTGCTGCCCCCTACAACTGCGCTGTGTAGCTTGGTGAGATGTTACCAAGAGAACTGTGGAAATGTAGCTTGTCAGGATGTGCTGCTGAGTGTTGCCAACACAGCGCGGAAGTCGAAATACCAGTTCATTCATAAGTCTAGTGTTATTTGCCGAAATGATAAGTTTTGGATCTGTTGAGTTAAATTTAGTTACAAGTTTTAAAAAGCTGTTAAAATGTTGCTAGCTACTAAAACGTTTTAATTACACGTGCTGAAAGAAGTACTTAGAAAATAAAGGCTGGGCACTGTGGAGCCTGTAGCCAGTTACTCCCAAGGCTCAGGCTGGAGAATTACTCGCATTCTAGCACAGACGTTCCAGGTCAGCTGGGCAAATATAGTGAAACCTTGTCTTGGAAAAACAAAACAGTATCCTAATTTTAAATCAGTCCAGGGAGAGGCTGGTAGTAAATGTTTCCATTTGTTTCTTAGCCTGGATACATTTATATTGTTTTTTCTATTCTGTGTTTAAACGGTTTATTATTTCAAGTTATTTCCTTTTAAGAAACACATGATCTCGCGTGAGAGAATTCAGAATTGAATTCAGTTTCAAAGTTATTTTATTACTATTTATTGTAATTAATAGTGATTGAGGGACCTCAAGCTATGATTTGCACGATAAACTACAATTATGAAAGAGTTTAAGGTCTTTTCTGAGAACTAGTTTCCAACGTTCTTTGTTTCACTGGGGTAAAATCAGAGGGAAAGAACCATGCTTAGAAGTTAATTCCCTTTGTTGAGCGTTACAGCAGGATAGAATCCTAACATTAAAATGATACACATTTTTAAATGGCATGCTTTCAATTAATTCTAAAACGCACTTTAAAGAAACGCTTTACTGGCTGCTCTTGCAGAAGTCTGAGGATGGATTCCCAGCACACACATGGCAGCTAACAACTGTCCCTAACTCCAGTTCCAGGGGATCGTATGCCCTCTTCTGACCTCCTTGGGCATTGCACAACTCAGCTGCACCTACACACATGCAGACAATACACTCATACAGATAAAAATAATAAATAATGAAAAAACACTTTGATGCATTTTTGCATTTCTAAGTTGAGACTGCATCTCACATTCAGGAGTGTCATAAACTGGCCATGTTTCTTTTTCTTGTAATGAACTTGTTAGTCATATCTAAAGCAGTGTTGCATGTTATTAATACTCTCTTGGACTGGACCAACTACATTAATTGCTCAATTTAAGCATTTTATTATATTTTACATTTTTCCAAAATCTTTTCTGGAACTTTACTACCAAAGGATTCCATACAGCAAGATTGGTAACACAGAAAATGAGGCCAAAGGAAGCTGAAAGTAGACATTCTTAAGAGGTAACAGAATTGCTGTTACTGCATATAATCATGAAGATCAGCTATGTTAAACTTCATCTTAGTTAAGCCTGCTCAAACCTGGCTTTAAAGCAATAGCTTTGAGGGGGGCGGATAGATGGATCATCAGGTAAGATTGCTTCCTGTTCTTCCAGAGGGCTGAGTTTGGTTCCCAGCTGCTGACAATCACCTGTAATGCCAGGGGATCTGATACCCTTTCCTGGTCTCCCTGTTCACCTGCACACATGTGGCATCTGCTCATACACAGACATACACATTAAAATAGAAACAGCCTTTGAATTTGTAATCCTAAGATTCTATACATAATGCACCTTCCAAAACCTAAATTTCTTCTTCCGTGCAATGTCGTTTAGGATGAGTTCAGCAAACACCCTAATTGCTTATCTCAGGTTGGGCAGTTGGCCTTCTCTTTTGTTTAAAGGACCCTGCTCTCTTTTAGAAACATCATTTTGCCAAGTCGAGTCCTTTACTTTTTCCACTGGTTATCCAGGAACATTTGGTGTATATTTGAGTTCATATATTAAACTTTTAAGGTGCAAACAAAAATCCAAATTTAATTACTGTAGCTGGTCTCTCAGGTTTCAATGAGAAAATAATTTAAAATGACTAGTTCAAATCCAGTGATCAGGATACAGGTTTGACTTGAATGAAACCCAAACCAAAATAATTTAGTAACTGATTCTAAAATACAGTGGTGGTGAAAATTGCATTGGTTTAATATCGCATAAAAGAAAAGAGCAGAATCTAGGAGAACATAAGCTATTTCAGAGCAACCAAACAGCTGAACCTTGGCCAGCTGATGGAATAATTACTCCCCTCCCCCAAATGCCTGTTCCATTTTTATGCTACAGGTTTTTTTTAAAGTTATTACATCTTGAATAATTTGGATTCTTGACGATTTTTAGCTAAGAAAAAAAACATCTTTAATCAGATTTCTAAAAGAAACCAATCTGAAAAGTTTATAGTATTGCATGATTTCAACTATATGGTGCTCTGATACTCTGAAAGTGGCGGAAGTACAGAGACAGGAAACAACAAAAACAAAAACAGTGATTGCCAAGAGTTCTGGAAAGAAGAATAGGTGAAACCCCTAGAGGGTTTTTTAGGGCATTGAAACCATTCTCCTGTGATCCTGTGATGATAGTGATGATAGATACATGTCATATACTTGTCAGACCTCACACAAAGTGCACCTAGAGAATGTTACTGTTAGTACAGACTTTAGGTGATAAAGTACAGTGTGCTAGTGTGACTCCATCCATTGTAACAAATGTACCACTATTGTGTGTGGTGTTGACAGTGGAGAAGTCTTGGGGAGAGGGGATGTCACGTATTGTGGGAGGGGGTAGGTATGGGAATGCTAAATTTTATGCTCAGTTTGGCTATGAACCTAAAACTACCATAAAGATCATTTTTTAAAAAATTTCAAGTGTTCTACACATATATAGAATATTATATAAACATATTTAATGTATTTGAATAATTAGCTAAAATGTTCTACAAATTATGTAAATATATAATTAAAATGCTCTAAGAGTCTGAATTAGATAAATTAGTTTGTTGTGAGATCTCACAGCTTTGTATCACATAGGTACTCATATCTTTAAGTGCATGAATAAACTAATCTACATTGATAGAAGTCACTGGAAAAATTGCTCAGATTTCTTCTTTGTTAAGTTTTAAAAAGTTTTTGTAAAGCTAGGTATAGCAGAGCACAGTTTTAATTCCAGTAATCAGGAGACAGAGGCAGGTGGATTTCTGTGAGATTGAGGCCAGCCTGGTCTACATAATGAGTTGAAGGCCAGCTGTAGCTACAGGAAGACCCTGTCTCAAAAAAAGACAGAAAAAACAAAAACCTAAGTCACAGTACTGAGTTAAAATATATAGGGCCTAAGATATGACAGAGCATGCACAAGCTTAGCACGTGCAAGGCCCTGAGTTTGATTCCAGCACCAACACAGTTTGCCTGATCACAGCCCAAAGGCCTATCAGAAAATAAACAGCATTATTTTCATTTCAATATTGAGCGAATATTCCCTTTGTCAATGTCATGTTGAGAATATTTCCTATAAATATTTTTAAAAAATCAGTTCAGAACTGGGATAGTGGTGCACAATTTATAATCCTAGCATTTGAGAGACAGAGGCAGGAAGATGGTGAGGTGGAACAGGCCTAGGTTCCACAGCAAGACTGTCTCCAAAAAGAAATCCAAGGTAATAATGATAAAAATAAAAATAATTCCATTTCCTGACGTTACAATATTTCTAAAAGGCACACGTATATTGTAATTTTTGAACATATAAAAAAAAATTTGTTTGGTTTTTTTTGAGACAGGGTCTCCCTGTAGCCCAAGTTGGCCTGGAACACACTATGTAGACCAGGCTGGCCTTGAACTCACAGAGATCTGCCTGCCTCTGCCTCCCAAGTGCTGGGATTAAAGGTGTGCACTACCATACCTGGCTAATATTTATTAGGTTAAAAAAAAAAGTTATTCCTCAGGAATTGAGTAGATTTAAAGTTTCAAAAGCAAATTTAGAATCAATTGACCTGGAATTTTGAGATGTTAATTGCCAAGAAAACAATGAAGCATTTTGTTTCTTCTTTTCTAAGGATGTTTAGAATTAGTAGAAAAATACCTTAATGTAGCTGGGGCAATTAGCTTACCTTTGTTACCCACAAAATGTTAGCTTTGTAGAGGCCTTCAGCTCCAAGGATGCTGTATCATCCTCAGTAGCCTTCAACTGATACAAAGTTCCATGCAAATTGCCAGTTCAGGGCCTGATCTTGTTGATAA